CTGGTCACTGAGCAGACACCACTGCTAACAGCCATGCCTCTGACATCTTATGTGAGAAAAACAAATCTCCAGTAGTTTAAGGCACTGTTGATTGGCCATTCCACCACCTGCAGCTGAAAGCATTTGTAACTTCCAGCTGGGTATAATAGCACTCAACAATAGAGACAATTACAAATGTATTGTGTGTGACCCTAGAGAATCAGGAGGTAGAGGCAAACCTAAGCTAGCCTAGGCATGGGACAGCTTAGTGATGAATACAATGAGCCCTGAGTGACAAATAAAGGCCAGGGAAAGAGCATCAGGCAGACAGAATGTTCTGTTCTGAAGGGGGCAGGAAGACGGTGTGTTTGAGGAACTAAGAGAAGTCCCGTAGGGCATATGTGTAGGGTAAGAGTCAGGTGAGGTGGGCAGGGGCTGGAGCCTTCTGGGCCACATGGGCTCTGACAAAGATGTGCTGCTTTGCTCCATGAACAATGAATGGGAAGCCCCCGCAGAGTTTTAAGCAGGAGCAAGTCATCATACACTATCCTTTTTGAAAAGTGTCCCTTGGTCAGGGATGGGGTGGGAGATGGAGAAAGGGGAGGTGGTATGTGGCTATGAAAGGGCAACAGGAGGGATCCTTGTGATGATGGAGATGTCCTGTACCTTGAATGTATCAATGTCAATATCCCGGTTGTGATGTTGTACTATAATTTTGCAAGATGTTATTATTGGGGGTAACTGGTAATATAGGATCTATTATTTCTTACAACTGCATGAGAATCTACAATTATCTCAAAGTTAAAAGTTCAGTGAAAAAAAGTGTCTCCTGGTTTCAACATGGAGAGTGGATGAGAGGGGGTAAGGATGGGAGAGGGGACGACTCCAAGTCATCCAGAGAGCATCCCACCAGGGAGGTGGGATGAGAGGAGTGGACTGATTCGAGAAGTATCCGGGAGGTACGATGGAGACTCACTGATGGATCCTACGTGGGAGGTGAAGAGGAAGAAGTGCAGAATGACTCCCAGGTTCCTGCCTGGAGCTGGTGGGTGGATTCTGGCATCTTTTACTGCGATAGGACACAAAGGAAGAGGAGCAGGTTTCATGGTGGTGGTGGAGGGACAGGGGAGGCAGGCACAGCCAGCTCATGTTTGGGCAACTTAAGTTTAAGGAGCCAAGGAACTATCCAGGTAGAGATTCTGAGTGGGCATTTGGAAAGGCGATCACCTTAAAACAGAACTAAAAGTGAAATTTCCCTCCTTCAGCATCTCTTCCTATTCCACTGCCTGCCTTCCAGGAAAATACAAGAGAGTAAGAAAACGTTCGCCCCCCTCGCCAGATCACACTTTCAGCCCTTCTCTCTACTCGCTTACTTGCTCTCCCCACACACGAGTGAGCCCAGATCCGACTGGGAAACACCCGACATCGTGGTACCAGGTTTGATTAGCGGGGTGGGGAGGGGGACACTGCTGAAGTCCATGCCCACATACAGCACGCCCTCTGCCCTCTCCTGACTCCTTTCACTTCCTGTGCCCACTGCAGGTCTCAGCCCCATTTCCTCTCTCCACGTAGGGCCAGAGCCTGCTTTCTAGAAGCAGTCTTGACTTTCTTCCGAGCTCTCTGTTCCGCCTGCAGCTAGCGTGAGAAGCGGGCCTGCTGTCCTCAGCTATGCAGCTGGTCGTCCCAGCAACCTTGGGGTCTGCTGTCTAAACCTAGCCAGCTCTCTCTGAGCTTGTGTCTAAGCAGGTGCGTCCCCAGGTTTAGACTGAGGGCTGGAGGTAGGAGACTTCACTTTGGCCTCAGGCCTATGGGGTAACTCTATCTAATCTAGCTATTACCTGAGATCCTAGCATAAGATGCTTGCCAGTGAATGAAGTGGCATGAGGGAAAGGCAGGAAAGAAAGAACTATATATTGAAAACCACCCTTGAAAACCCTCTAGGAAGGTGTCATGTTAGAAATAGACTGTCAATCCGTTTTCCTTCCTGAGTTGGGAGACATCATCACTGATGAAGTAGCCGACTTTCATTTAGGAGCCATATTGCACAAACCAACCCCACATGTCTTTGAACCCTGGACTCACACTTCACACCATGAGATGCACACTCCGAGAGGCCCCTGGGAGCTGCCATTGGCTGGGGAGCAGTGGGGTCATGATCCTCCTCAGGCTCATTCCAGGGCTGCAGGGAACTGCACATGCTAGCTGCAGTTATTACTCTATTTTCTTGCCAAATGGATAGATCTGTTTCATGTAAGATAAATGTGTACATAATATCACCCTCTATACTCTCTTTTCCCTTTGACTAATCATCCTTGGCAGATGCTCCATGTTCAAAATCCTGAAGGAGAGGATGGATGAGAGACATCCTGAACACCATTAATTTGGGACCTATTCTTCTAGATCTTTTTCTATGTATTTTATACACACATACACATAATTTTTTACATAAATAGGAACATACTATACATATTCTGCAACTTAATATTTTCACTGAACAATAAAATCTTGGTGATTCCCCCCCACAGACACATATCAACAGACATAGATCTACCACATTCTTTTTTTTTTTTTTTGAAGAGAGGACGATTGGCCCTGTGCTAACATCTGTTGCCAATCTTACTCTTGTTTTTTTCTTTTTTCTCCCCAAAGCTCCGGTACATAGTTGTGTATCATAGTTGTAGAGTTGTAGCTCTTCTACATGGGATGCCACCTCAGCATGGCTTGATGAGCGGTGAGTAGGTCTGCACCCAGGATCCAAACCAGCGAACCCTGGGCCACCGAAGCAGAACGTGCAAACCTAACCACTGGCCCATACCACATTCTTTTAAACTATTCCATAGTATGGATATTCTATATTGTAACCATGTGCCACTGTTGAACATTTTTCTTAGCTGCGTCTAGTTTTTGCTACTTCAAATATGACTACAATAAACATCCTATGTACATACACCTTTGCATATTTATGTGAATATTTCTAGAAGATAAATTAATAGACATGAAATTGCTAGATCAGAGTATGTATTTTGAAAATTAAAAAACTACTGCTGAATTGCCCTCCAACAATGTTTAAAGTTTTCACTCCCAACCACACTTATATTCCCAACACTATATATTATCAATTTTTTAATTTTTGCCAATCTGATGGATAAAAAAGGGTATCTCATTTAAGCTTTATTTCTTTGATACTAGAGAGATCGAATGTCTTCTCAAATGTTTATTGGCAATTTCTGTTTTTTTCTTTGAGAAATTTTTGTTTATATCTAAAAATGTTTTCCATTGGGTTGTTTGTAGGTTTCTTATAGATTTTTAGGAGCTCTATTATGATGGATATTAATCTTCTGTTGTAAATATCTCTTCTAGTCTGACACATCATTTATTTATATATAATGTCTGTAATTTAACAATTTTTGTTTTAAAGGAGATCTTCTGGGTATTAAGTCTTGCTTAAGTAGGCCCTCTCTGCCTCAAAATTATACTGTTAGAAATTCTTTTATATTTTTTTCTAATGCTTTTATAGGTTTAATTTTTGTGTTTATTTCTGGAATTTTTGTGAACTTATGATATGAGATAGGGCTCTGGCTTTACATTTTTCCCAAATATCTTGGGGCTAATTGTCTCAGTGCCAATTCCTAATTGTTCTTTTCCCACTGATTCAAAACACCACCTTTATAATATATCAAATTCCTATATACACACACACCTCTCTCTCTAGACTCTGTTCTTTTCCATTGATCTATTTGTCTATTTTAGCCCCATCAGGATCACATTTGCTAATTACTATAGCTCTAGAGTATGTTTTGACGTCTTGTAGGACACATACACCATTGCCCACCACTACTAACACCACCAAAATTTTTTAGCTATTCTTAAACATTTTTTTCTTCTACATAAGCTTTATAAATGGGTCAAATTTAATTTTCTAAAAATCTGTGACTTAAATGGTTTTGTATTGAGTAATTTGGGCATAGTTGATGTCTTAACAATATTGAGTCTTCCCATCCAGGAACACAGAATATCCCTTCGTTTATTCAACTCTTCCTTTATACCTGTATGTAGAGATTTGCAGTTTTCTCAATCACACTTTGCATATTTCTTGTTAGCTTTATTCCTAGGTGTCATAATTTTTGTTGTTATTGTGAATGGTATATTTTTCCATTATATCTTATAATTGACTCTTGCTAATCTATAGGAAAGCTATTGACTGTAATATATTGATCCTGAATTTAGATGCTTTAATGAGTTCTTTATTAGTTCTAATAGTATTTAGTTGATTCTTTAGAATCTTCTATTTAGAGAAGTATTGACAGCTGCAAAGATTACATTTGTGTATATTCCCTTCTAATATTAACACTTTCTATTTGTTCTTCTGGTCTAATTCCATTGCCTACAGTTGCCAGCACAACTTTAATACTTGTTACTAACTTTACAAGGGAACAATTCTAATATGTTACATAATGTAAGTATAAGGCTTGCTTTAAATTTCTGGGAGACAAAGTCTTTATTAAGCTATGGATGTTTTCTTTTATTCTCTACCTCACTAAGACTTATCAGAACTAAGTTTTCAATTTAACCAGCTTATTTTCAATGTGTTGAACTGTTATTCAATTCTTTATATAAAAAGCAGTCCTGGGCTGGCCCTGTGCCTTAGCAGTTAAGTGTGCGTGCTCCACTGCTGGTGGCCCGGGTTCGGATCCCGGGCGTGCATCGACACACTGCTTCTCCGGCCATGCTGAGGCCGCGTCCCACATACAGCAACTAGAAGGATGTGCAACTGTGACATACAAATATCTACTGGGGCTTTGGGGGAAAAAACAAAAAAAAAAAAAGAAGCAGTCCTCATGTAAAATTTTAATGACCACGTACTCTATTTCATGAAGACAGTATGTCTGTGTCTGTGTCAGAGACCTCTGATGCCATTAGAGTTGGTATATGTTAAAAATGTAGAACTAGAAATATTTTTTGGAGCACATCAAAACAAATCACATATTTATGCTACTGGTAATTTAATGTGAATCCCTCACCTTGAAATCATCAGGAATGAGGAGTTTTGATGTTCGTAGAAAATTCAAGATATATCTGAACATCTGTCCATCTCTGTCAATGAAATAGTGCTGTTTGAGACTGTCCAAAACAATGGGCTCTGTACCATCAAAAAGTCTTCCGATTCTGTGATAGAAAAGAGGAAACAGTGAAGACGATTAGAATCAATTGTTCAGCCACTAAGACTAAGAGCTACTGTTTCGTGTCACTGTCAAAGGTAGCACTTTCAAAGATGGCAGTCAGGAAAAATCACTCATGAAGTAGTTATGGTGCCCTGAGAAGTAGTGGCCCCTGCTTGATAAATATCTCAGAACCACACAATTCAAAATAGTCTCAGCCTTTCTCAAGTAAATTCTTTTATTCACTGTCTTTTACCTGTAAAGAAAATGTTCCTGACATGGTGATTATGGCTAAGTGCTGTCACTGTAATAGAAGAGCATGTCTTTCCCTCTGTGTTACTTAAAACAACCTTCTCTTCTGCTTTAAAAAAATGTTATTGCTCCACAGTATCTTTTAAACAGATTCTATGAAAAAAGCAATTTTGTTTTTAAGAAATCTGTTTTCTGAGCTTTCCCTATCCATGAATCCCAAACTTTTAAAAAATAAAGCAATGCGTATATGGTAACATATACATTTAATTATAAAAAAGAATAATTGAAAATATCACTTGTCTAAGAGAATATGTTTTCCATTAACAATATACAGTCTAGTTTTTTAGGTCTCAGCAAAAATCACTTGTAACAGCCAGGAATCATTATAAAATATAAATATTTGACCACACAAAAAATATGACCTAGTTCTGGAATAGGTAATAGGTGGCTATAGGTAATTTTTACAAACAGGAATCCATAATATGTTCTTTGCATTTTAGAGTAAACTTTTGAACAATGTGCTACAGGTAAAGCATTTTCAATCCATTATTCTTTATCCCTTTAAGGAAGGCTGGCCCTACACACTTTAGTATATATTTAGTTAATAGAAAGTGGTCACATCCATACTATGAACAAGCAGAAGGCTGGCTAATAACAGACAAATATCCTATATCAGAAAATAGAATTTACATACTAGCAATCACTTCCTTGACCAAAAGGTGCATTTTACTTTTCACTAACAGTGTAGGCAAGCAAATGGCCCCATTTTTTAATGAAAAGCTTTTGCAGAACTCATCATAATTGATGAGAACTGATTAGGAATATCGTTTTGTGGCTCTGAAGATGATTTTGAAATCATACATTTTCTAATCTTATGTTGAAATGGGCCAGATGTAATGGTAAATCAATAATTCCACCCCTCTTAAAATACAACGAACAAATAAGAAAGCTATTCCCCTCTCTCCCAAAAAAGAAAGGTGTGTGAATTTCTGTTTCAATAAAAATCTTTTAAAGATAATTAGAGGGCCGGCCCCGTGTCTTAGCGGTTAGGTGCGCACGCTCCGCTGCTGGCGGCCTGGGTTTGGATCCCAGGCGTGCACCGATGCACCACTTCTCCGGCCATGCTGAGGCCGTGTCCCACATACAGCAACTAGAAGGATGTGCAACTACGACATACAACTATCTACTGGGGCTTTGGGGAAAAAGAAAGAAATAAATAAAATTATTAAAAAAAAATAATAAAGATAATTAGAAAACTCATGTCCTACCTGAAGGTAGTAAGTACAAAGAAGAAAGCAACTAATTACAGTCAGGTCATATTTCTAAAACTCAATATACTTTTCTCAGCTAATGTTTTTGTCCAACTTTCCATGAATTGAAGGTGATTATCCAGGGTGTGGATTACAACCATTCAAGGATTCTTTCACTGCATGCTACCTTGTCATTCATTTCTCATTAACACATCAATCAAACGGTAGGCTACATAAAGAAGGGGCAGTGAGACTAAAATACACCTAGTTACTTATTTATGGAGCTTCCAGGACAGACTGGTGCAGTATCGTAAAGAATGAGACTTGTTTGCCTATTATTAAAACATTTTATTCTTCCCTGTTAATAACCTGATAAATTTACAGTTGACAGGGGAAGAAAACGGAGTTATATTTATTAAGTGCTTTCCAGATACTCTGAACTATCCTACTCACTTTATGTCTAACAAATCCATTATCCTCCTTTTAAAGATGAAGAAATAGGCTCAAAATGATGAGTAACTTGCCCAACTAGATAAGTAGCATTGGGGGATTTGGGCACAGTCTGTTTGATCTTAAAGGGGCCTCCCTACAATGACTGGAATGAAAAGAATTACTACTATGGAATGAAAGCTTTTGATCTAGAGTTTTTTTTTTTTTTTAAAGATTTTATTTATTTATTTTTCCCCCAACGCCCCAGTAGATAGTTGTCTGTCATAGCTGCACATCCTTCCAGTTGCTGTACGTGGGACGCGGCCTCAGCATGGCCAGAGAAGCGGTGTGTCGGTGCGATCCTGGGATCTGAACCCAGGCCGCCAGCAGCGGAGCGCACGCACTTAACCGCCAAGCCACGGGGCCGGCCCTGATCTAGAGTTTTTATTTCTATCTTATATTTGTTCAGCAAGAGCTTTACAATGAAATCCAAGAGTGTATACTGATTATTTTTGTAGCCTGAAATAAATCAGTATCAATGATTGCAAGTCACTTTAGTAAAGAGGTGAAAATATTTTATTCTTAAACAAATCCTATGCTTTTTATTCTTAAATGCTCATTTTTTAAATTTAGACTTGGACTTAACTCCGGTCAGAATGAGTGATTAATACATCTTTACGGAATGAGTAAAGAAGTGACTGTGTAGAGAGGGGAATGAGGCCTGGCCAGTTACTAGCTGCAGTCTGGGTGAATTCTGGGTGACTTCTCTGCGTCTGCATGTCTTTTATAAAATGGTCAGTTTTCTTTTATAAAATTACCCTAAGTTTTTCTCAGGGTTGATGAGAAAATCAAATGGGGTCATGGCATACTTAAAAAGAACACAGCAATATAAGGTATCCCAAACTAGCAAATAAAAATGTCTATGGGGCAGCCGCGTGGTGTAGCGGTTAAGTGCCTGTGCTCCCCTGCTGCGGGCCTGGGGTTGGGATCCCCGTGTGCACCGAGGCACCCCTTGTCAGGCCATGCTGTGGTGGTGTCCCATATAAAGTGGAGGAACATGGGCACAGATGTTAGCCCAGGGCCAGTCTTCCTCAGCAAAAAGAGGAGGATTGGCATGGATGTTAGCTCAGGGCTGATCTTCCTCACCAAAAAAAAAAATGTCTAGGAAAGCAGCTGGTAGAAGACTGCAAGCACTGAGAAACAGGATTAAAGGAGAAAAGGGAACAATCTTGGCAGAAGTGTATCGTTATAGATCTTTCCAAGATAGGAGAGACATTTAAATGGTTTTTAGGAAGGAAAAAAAAAAAAATCCACCTTTGGCAGCTGCAGGAAATTGGGCACACTTGCAATCAGAAGCACATTCACAGCCGACTTACGCAAAATAGGAAAAGTCGCGAAGGAAGGAGCAGGAGGGAAATCTGAAAGGAGGCCCAGCGCGGGATGGAGAAGCGGCAGCGGCCTCTGGGCCAGGAGCGGGAGAAGTCGGGTCTCCAGGCGGACTCATTCAAGACGGAAGGCCACGAGAAGCTGAGGAGGAAGGAGTGGACTCCAGCGGGCAGATGGGACACCCCAGCCGGGCCGCGGCCCCGTGTGCGGAGCAGCGAGGCCCGGAACCTGCGGCGGCCGCAGCCTAGGCCGCGAGCTTGCGCTTGGCGGCCCAGGAGGGCGGGGCGAGGGCCTGAAGGTGGTGGGAGAACCTTCCCGGCCTCCTGCTCCGGGCGGAGGAAGCTGTGTGGTCCCTGGGGGCTGGGAGGGCAAGGACGGTGAAGAGAAGAGGGAAAGGCTTGGAAAGGAAGACCCGTGGGCCAGGCCCATGCACATTCCTGAGGCGAAAGGCCTCTCGGTGAAGAAAGAATCCCCGTGTTTGAGGCAACAAATGTTAGGAGTAATAAAAGGAAGCACAGTGCTGCTGATTTTCTTCTAGGTTTAAAAGGAGGAAGGTTTTGTATTGTGAAAACAATGCAGCAGGACAGGGTGGTGCCAGTGATCATAAAATGGCGTCCTTGGGTGGGTTTTGAGATCAGCCTGAATGGGGTGTGGAAAAGCATTGTTTGGCTGCACAAGTAGAGGGGACATCAGCACGGGCTATATTTCTTGTGGACATACGAATGGAGTTACAAATCAAACTGCAGTGATTTGTAAACTCTGGGGTCTGAAAACTATGTGGAACTGATTACAGTTTACTAACCTTGGAGAACATTCCTGTTTTCCAACTGACCAAGACCAAGCTGGTCCAGATGATGTATGGCTGCCTTTCATTTTTTTTTTAAACATTCATTGAACCAAGTGGCAATGCTGAGAAAAACTTCCTTCCACAATTTTATTTTTTTTTTTAACATTTGTTTTTTAACATTTTATTTTGGACAATTTAAAACTTATGTGAAAGCAGGGAAAATATAATGAACCCCTCTGTGTCCATCCAGCCTCAAAAGCTATCAACTCTTGTCTGATTTGTTTCACCTATATCTCTATGCCTCCCTCTCCCCCACTAGGATTTTTAAAGTAAATCCCAAACATCCTATCATTTTATCTGTAAATATTTCATTAGCTAATAGGATTATAAAGGTTCACTGAAAATATGCATGAACAGATACTGAAATATATTCATGTTTCTTGCTTTTTAATGTTAGCACTCTGTTGATTACACTTGTTTATCGAGCAAATAATGCAGGACCAAATCTCCGAGGAAATTAAGCTCCTTTTGGTGGAAAGTAAGTCTGGTTTCCCACTATGGCTCCCCCTTCCCTGGCATTAAAGAATGAAAGAGTATAGGGATAGGATCTGACTTACCTGGCTGAGTGGGAATCAGTCATTAAGAATTTATTTTTTCTTATGTATGCATTCATTTATAGGACCTGGTTTCTCTAATTTACTGTGACTTAGTTCCTGAAGAATTTCTCTTTCCTTCTTTATTGTGTAGTCACTCAGTTATTCATTCATTCTTTCCACCAGTATTCACTGAGTCTGACCATGCGAAATACAGGGGATGCAGTGGTGAACAAGCCACACTCCTTGCTTTCGTGGAATTTAAGAGTCTGTGGGGCTGGGAATGCAGATCAAGTGCGGTGTGATGGAG